TAAAACAGAGCTAAGTTCTTACTAAAACGTATTTCTTGCTAAAATAGATTTATCTTCGTATTTAGTCTGGTTGAAATATTTCTTTGGTATAAATTTATTTCATCCAGACATTTATAAAAGTAGTTTAAATCTAAGTACTGTTAGAGTTTATAATTCTAAGTGTAATGTCATTTATATTCTGATATTAATTTGGAATTCTTATGATAGTTAACTAGTTAACTATGATATTAGTGGTTAAAAGACCCGCCTCTCATGCATGCATCCTGGCAAGTGATTTTTCCGAGTCATATGTACTTTCTAAGAGTATTTAGACATCACTGATTAATGCATTCCCAAAGAGGGTTAATGTCAGGCAGGCGGCCGGTCGTGAAAACAATTAGCCAAAACTATTCACAACTTGTAAGGCAGACCCTGGCTACAGCTGGGAAATTGCCAGGTAGAAGACTATTATAATTAGGATGCAAGTGTTAGACTGGGGATTCTGTTACGTGTTGCTGAGAAATAAACATCTAAGTGAAAGTACTGCCTTCATTATTTCTGACAGTATATAATATATTAAAGTTTGTTGAATTTTATTTTGGAACTTTATTTACTCATTTTGAAATATATTCAACAAAATTTTTCTCACATATTAGGTTTGTGTCAAGAAGAAAACATCAAATGTAATTTCAGTTTGAAGTGCCAAAGTTACACTGCAGTTGTTTAAATGAAAACTGTTATACTAAGCTTATTTAGAGCCATTAGAAACGCATGGCCTAGTTTATAGGACAGCACATTACGTTTATATTTTAATTATTTTTAATAAGATACTTAGTACTGAAAATTTGAGACTTTATAGCCATTAATACCAATGATAATTTCAGCAGGATGAACCACATTAATCATTATAAATACATACATATACATACATATGTGGGATTATACGGAAATATAAGAGAGATTGTTATGATATTTTTTAATAACTTTATACAGAAAATTGTACGGTAATTCTTCATAACATTTTATATCACTTTAATCCTATTCCACTTGTTTTTAAGTTAATACTTAAGCTATTGCATAGCTTTTATCGCGGGTTTTTAATTTGTGACTGTCGAAATGTGTAACTTAGTTTTTAATTGACTTTTATTCAACCGAATAAGGTGTAGTATGTTAAGATTAGTTTGGATTATAGCAAAATGTTATTGGTGACGTCATTTCAGACCAACTTAGCGGCATATTCTAGTAAAGGTTGGACTAGTTATTTTTAATGCACTCCTACAGTGTAGGTATGACACGAAAGGTTTTTGCTAAGAATAGCTTGAGAAACGTGTACCGGAGTTATTTAAAAGTATAAAAATCAAAAATATTAAATATACACCTATATAATATAATATACATATATAATGATACATATTATATTTTTAATATAGTTGCTTTGAGGTGTAAGTTTTTTGTAAAAAGGCTTTTTATAGAATATTTTATTGAAATTTTATCTTGAAGTAACAAATAATTCGATTGTAATTAATGTTATTGAAATATATATGTGAAAAAGTATTTCACAATTTCCATTATCTGAAATATCTTTTTATATAGGAATGTAAGGAAATCCAAAAGCCTTTATTATCGATACTTCGTTGCAAATTAAAATCGTATAATTATACATTTTACTGGACTCATCTTCGGAATGTGGAAATGAGATTGTTTTCAAATAATAAGTGAAAAAGTATTAAACCAGATAAATGTTACTATAGGAGATATTATTTAAGATTCCGCTTATATTTATTTCGATTGAAACGCTTTAATTTAAGGGTACACTGACAAAAATTACGCCAAACGACGCCATTTTCTATAAATATATTTTGATAACTATTTTTAGCTTCTTATTAAGCCTAAATTTTAAACATTATCCTCTGATTAACATATCCATAATTGAATGAACTGTTTCTATTTTATATAATTGCTAATAGTTTATAAATACACATACATGTACGTATAGACAAACGAAGTATTGACTTGCAGCGTTGTATATAAATTAAATGTACAACCACAGTACATATTTTCTTGTTACGATCTTGCTTCCGACAGATTAAAGATTGCAGGAACGTTATCGCCACTGTTACAATAAATACAGTTGTTAAATAGAAAAGAGTTTGATTTAAACTCTGTTTTTAATTTCCTACTGTTACATTTTACAAAAATATTTGTTGGATATTAAGGCAGTAACAAAAAAATCTTCGTCATGTATTAACGATGTAAGTACTCTTTTGTAAAAGCAATTTGTATTACAAGATTGTATGTTTTCTTTTAATTGAATTATTTTTAACAATCTTTGTTTTATATCGATGTTAAGAACGTCTTTGATGTTTGTGTCTTTGTAAAGTGATTTTTTTATAAAACGAAATTTTTATTAACAGCAATCGACGACTTAAAATATTGATAAAACAAATTGAGGCCATTTCTTTCCAAATTTACCTTTAATAAATTGTTGGTATTCAAATCGTGTTTTCACTGAAATTAAATGGACGGAATAGAATTTGTTAATAATTTTAAAAACGATAATATCATATCAATACGTCCGAAATAGGTGCTCATGAATTCGCGGATGACATTAAGAGAAACACCATTGTGGAATAGGTTTATAAACGGTAATTATTTTCATTTTTATCATCATCACCCTATCGGTGAACACTGGCCTCTTCACAATGTAGAAGGTTAGAGCATAAATCACCTTGCTTGCTTAAAGCGGATTTGAAAGTTTAAATTTCAAATTTGAAATTATAAGTCCAGCTTTCCTCACGACGTTTTCCTTCACCGTATGTCAGTGGTGTCTCAAAACTCGTAGAAAGTAAATATTACTTGGAAATATCATATTGGTACATGCTAATAAGATATCAAATACAAGTAGTAAATAAATAATTGTCATATTGATGCCTGTGTAATTTTTAATCTAAAACACAATTTCAGGACATAAAAATTCACAGTTACGGAATTTCAAAAAGAATACAGTTACACAAGTACTCGTAAAAATCGATTTTACACCTTAAAATAAATATACGCCAATCGTCTCTTAATAAAATGACTGACAACTTTTCAATTGTACTCCTAGAAGTCTAAAAAGAGCACAACAAAATAAATTGTGACTTTTTTATAATTAACAAAAGTATATATTGGGAGTCGAAGAAAATAGACGAAAACATATTCCAATTAATGAATATTATTAGATGAATTTTCTATGTTAAATTTATAAAATGTATTTTACATTTGAAATTTGAACTCGAAATTCCTGTGGTAGTATCAGTTGCATGTAAATGGAAATTCATTTGAAAATCTCGACTGTGCATTTGAACCGTATATAATCGTTGGCTTATATTAAATTGGATTAATAAACGCATTATGTAATTCATTCATATTTGTTTCATAAGAAATATATGTTTTCTGTAAATGATAAACTTGTTTTAACTTCTGACTTCACACACTGGAGCAAGATAATCAGTCAAGCATTCATATAAAACGGATTAAGACTTCATTTAATTAATGAATTAATATTACAAGAAGTATTAGAATTTTAATGAATTATGAAACAAGATTCTAGATATATTCAAATATATATATATATGATTCACCGCCATTATTAAAAATAGACGAAATCCAGAAGCAAATGAAAAATACATTAAAAGTTAAAATAAACGATGTATATTTTTGTGTTACTAACGAAATTGTTTATGTATCGTTCAGTTTATTTTTATATTTCAGAAGTATTAAAAGTCAAAAATAAATTCCATAACACGATCTGGATTATTTTAAACACAAATTGGACTGTTATTTTTATAAATTCAACTTCTTTTATGCACTATAATACATAGAAGTCACGTTAAATGATTTCATTTAAATTTTATAAAATATGCTTTCTTGTATATTTTAGATTAATTTTAAGAAAAATAATGTTATTGTATCTGATAAGTTTTGTTATATAGAATTACAATTCTGTCAACCTGATAATAGAGCTATATCTTTTCTTTCTAAATCATGACAGTAAATTAGTTCTTTCACTATATCCCTGCTAATATTATAAATGCGAAAGTCTTTGTCTGTCTGTTACGCTTTCACGCCTAAACCACTGAACTGATTTTAATGAAATTTGGTACAGAGATAGAGTTGATTTTGAGAAAGAACATAGGATAGTTTTAATCCCAGACTTTTGAAAGTTTCTCTTGGAAACGCAATATAATCGAACTCCATGCGGGCGAAGCTGCGGGCGGAAAGCTACTACATAGTATATCGCACTGCTAGATCTAAAGAGAGCTAACTCAAAAAAATCCATTTTAGAGTTATGCTTACCATCGATTTCCTTATCGTAATACCTATCGACCGATAAAACAAACTTTAAAATTATTGCTGCTACTTGACGCTAGATGCCGTTAGAAGTCTTTTTTGTTGACCGAGCGGTGCCCCCTCTTTCCCCACCAACACGGGGATATTGCGAGTTGCCAACGTTAATGAGAGCGGAGCGTACGTACGTTTGGTTGACTAAGTGGAGTTATTTTGAATTGTATCCGTATTGTTGAAATTTGATTGAGTATTATTTCGAGTTGTCGCCATTTTGATGATTGAAATCGCGTAAACTTAAACAACATTTTGAATTGATTCTGTATTGCTGGTAAGGTGAGTTGATATTTTGTTTTTATTTTGTATTGTTACCGTATTGTTAAAACATTTTTTACTTTCTAGTTGAGCCTGTTTTGTTGAGTTATTTTTTTAACATTTATATTTCTTTAAAAAAAATGTTTAAAATTATATTCTATTGCTTGTGGTAATAGGTATTTTCAGCCCAATATAATTTTAATTTAATCTTGGCCACTTAACTTTTGGTTCCGGTTTTAATGATACATTTTCAAGTTAAAGCTCTTTAGATGGAATCCGCAAAATTAATTTGATTTACATAGTTCAGAGGAGGAGAAACGTTAAATTAATAGCTTTTGTAATGGATTTGGCTCACAAGATGCATTTTATATTTCAGAAAAATGATGAGCCGTGGACGAATTTTAGTTAATATGGTAGAAGGAAGAGATAAAGAAAACGTGACCCCTCCTCCTGTCGTACACGCTCACAATGAGACACTTGAACCAACCGTTGAAGTTGTAGGCGAGCCTATCCCGAGCACATCCAAACAACAGGAGCATGGTCCGTTCTATTATATTTCACCAATACACAGCGATGAAAGTGTTATTGATGACTCCGACACAGATCCCACTTTCCGAGTCGTTCCTAAAGGTAAGACCTTGCCTAAAGTTGTGCCATCATCTTCAAATTCGTCCAGCACCAACACTAGCTCCTCGAGTTCGTCATCTGGTGACAGTTCGTCATCTTCTGATAATTCGTCGGACACCGAAAATGGTACAGAGCATGAAGACCCTCAACGTGTTGTGGCTGCTGAAATTATTAACCAAGATCCTGTGATAGAAAAAAGAAGTAAAAAGAGAGTACGCAAACCAGCGAATTGGAAGTTTAAAGTTGCAAAAGTGCTGCGAAATTCAGGCAAAGCCTACCAGTCTTCGTCGAAATCTAAAAAAGAAGTACCGGAAAGAAAAGTAGGCCCCCCCTGTGGAGAAAAATGTCGGCTCAAATGCAAAGATAAGATCAATGAAATGGCAAGACAACAACTCTTTCGTGCATATTGGGGACTCGGCAATCTTGAAAGGCAGAGAGAATTTATAGTAAGACATTCACAAGAAATAAAGCCTAAATATCGGTACTCGAGTACACAAAACGTAAGAGCACTTAATACTGCCTTTTATTTTGAGGTTGATGGATCTAAAATTAGAGTATGCAAGCTGTTTTTTAAATCCACCCTTGACTTGAGCAATAAAGCCATAAAAACGGCGTTTTCCAAGAAAACGGAAACAGGAGTTATTCTGGCTGACTTGAGAGGAAAACATGACCATCATCCAACTATTGATCCTCAAGTTAAACAGAGCGTTATAGATTTTATAAATGCTATTCCAAGGGTTGAATCTCACTACTTAAGGGCGCAAACCACAAGAGAATATATTTCAAGTGATAAATCATTAGCTGATATATATAGAGATTATAAACGACGTGAAGAGGATGGTTTACCCTTTGCTACGTCTTCCACATTCAATAGGATATTCAACACTGAATTTAACATTTCTTTCTTTATACCTAAAAAAGATTTATGTGATCTGTGTGAACGGTACAAGAACTCAGATGAAGAAGAAAAGCGCAAATTGCACCAAGAATATGAACAGCATATAGAAGAAAAAACTTTGGCAAGAACTGAAAAAGAAAAAGACAAAAATAGAACCGATGGTACCATCACTGCTGTTTACGACTTGCAAGCAGTTTTGCAGATTCCAAAGGGACAAGTTTCCTTATTCTTTTATAAATCTAGGATCAACTGCCTCAATTTCACAATCAGCGATCTAAGGGCAAAAGATGTCATCTGCTACTTTTGGGATGAAACCGAAGCAAAGAGAGGAGCGGTTGAAATTGGCAGCTGTATACTTAACTATATTAAATCTCAGGTAGATCAAAATCCTAACAAAGAATTAGATATAATTTTCTACTCCGACAATTGTGGCGGACAACAAAAAAATAAATATCTGTTGTCTGTCTATGCCTATGCTGTGAACAAGTTGCCAGTCAAGTCTATTACTCACAAGTTTTTAATACGCGGACACTCCCAAAACGAAGGCGATAATGTTCATAGTGTGATAGAGAAACAGATCAAAAGATATTTGCAGTCGGGTCCAATCTACATACCAGAGCAATACAAAACTTTGATTGGTACAGCAAAGAAGACGGGAAAACCTTACACAGTCATAGAAATGACCCACAATATGTTTTTATGACGTCAAAGTATTGCAAGAATCATGGGGCACCAATTTCAATATAGACGAGGACAAAAATCAAATCAAATGGCATGAGATAAAGATTCTCAGAGTCGAAAAAGAACACCCAGAAGAGTTTTTCTACAAAACATCTTTTGCAGAAGAAGCTTTTAGGAAAACTTGCGTTCGAAAAAAGAGTTCTCCGAGCAAGAGGAACTGGGACAGCTACTGATCAAACGATTTTTTCAATTGGTTTAACACAGGCATATACTGAGAAAATTGCATTGTCGGATGCAAAAAAGAAAGACATAAAAGAATTGATAGATAAGAACGTTATTCCAAAATCCTATTATGAAGTTTATTATAAAGGGGTTCTAGGTGATCTGGGTAATTAACTTTTTATTGCTTTTATTTAATTATTCTTCTTCACTCTTCACGGTATTTCCCCTTTAAAAGGGGGTAACCAGAAACAGCCCCGCAAAAGAACAAGAAGTCACTAATGCGGTGCAGTTCACTTTTTGCTTCCATGGGCCTATTAATGGTGTTGTTAGAGCATATTGAATAGCGATTAGTCGCAAGCTAATCGCCTGTACATGTAAATGCTGTTATGACCGTCTCTTAGTCGCCTTTTACGACACCCAGGAAGAAACGGGGGAGTGATATTCTACTCTGCCGTACACCCCACGGCTGAATTAATTACTCAGAAGTTAAATATGATTTTAAGTAAGATACTTAACTGTGATTTTAACAAACGGTGATCTCAAAGTGCCATTACATAATTGCATTTAAATAGTATTAATTAGTTTTGATTATAATTAAGAGTAATGTGTTTTTTAATTTTGAAAAATGTTTAGAATTGTTTTTTTAAGAACAGAAGGTTCCTATTTCTGTGATTTATTTTTGTACTTAGTCTTCTATAACTAAGAGATACAGACTGTTGATTGTTAAAGAATTATTAATAAAGAAATTTAGTTTGATTTGTACCTACTAAATTGTGTTTTCTTACTAATCTATCACCCAATAAACCCGTACTGCTGGTCGCAGACTGCGCTATGAGTTGTACTCATTTATAAATATTACCAAATGCTATTACATTTTTAAGCATGTTGACTTTTCAAAAGGGAGTCAACTCAAAACCAAATTTATCAAAGTAGGTTCAACTCTAAATAATTATAAAATTTACACGTGTTTGTTAAGTAATAGGGAGATAACTCAAAAATTCCTATTTTCACCCCCAATATAAGTCTGTATCACAATATTGCTCTATCATGTTTCTTCCAGTTCCACTTGTATTATCACAGACTAATAAAGAACCCATCTGCAGTACAAAGTTATAGCATAATCAGTTTTTCGCCTGTTCTGAAAAATATGCTTTTTCGAGTTAACCCTGTTTAGATCTAGGTGTGCGATATATACATATATGTCGGGGTGGTTGCATCGTTCATAATAAAATACTTTAATCTTATTTATTTATTTCTAACAATGAGACACTAACTACATAATATGTAATTTTAGATCTTTCAATCGTAACTAACTTTATCTGATTAACTTGATAATGACAAACTTCCATAGATTATTGACAAGTGACAGTGTTGCTAATACAACATAACAAAGCAGTAGAAAACATTAATTATTCCACGTATGTGCAGACCAAAATTAGGTTTGAAATGTCATCCTATTTCAATCCTATGTTAATGAAACAAAGGGACCTCACAATGGATAATAGTTTACCCATCGGTAACTGTTACGACAAATAACATACTGTTCCTGTGGAAACTTATGTTTTGGAATCTTTTCTCTATAAATAATATTAGTTATATATTAGACAGTAAATTGAAACATGACACGACTTTAAGTTCAGATTAAGATAAATGCTCTTTGAAAGTATGCTTATTGGATAATCAGCATCCTTCTATCCTTCTCTTCACCTCAAGGCTGGCAAAGCATTCGCAACACCACGTTGCAGATTTCCATGGTCGACGGTGACTATACACATCAGGTAGACCGTCTGCTCATTCACTCTCCTACCATAAATATAAAATTATTTGCGTCTCAAGTCAAGGGTTAAAGTTTGAAAAGCAAATAAACGACCATGATATTCTTACAATAGCTTTCTCAACACAAATCATTATTAAAATTTAGTTAAATGGTTTTAAACAAAAACATATACAATTTGAGGCCGAACAACATTAGTAGTATATAAAACTATTTAAATTTTTTGGTAGTTTAATGAAAAACGATATTTTCTGTTGCGTAATATTCTAAAAATAAATTAAGTTAGTATTAGATTTAATTTAAGAGTCAGTGGTGGCCTAGTGCTTAAATGGCCCACCTCTCATGCACAGGGCGCGGGTTCGATGCTAGCCCTGGCAAGTACTAATGTGATTTATCCGAGTCATATGTACTTTCTAAGTCTTTAGACATCACTGATTAATGCATTCCCAATGAGGGTTGATGTCACGTAGGTGGCCGGTCGTAAAAAGAATAAGCCATAACTATTCACAACATGTAAGGCAGACCCTGGCTAAAGCTGGGAAATAAAAGTGATACTAGGTTGTAACTTTATTTCAAATGTCCTTGGGAGTAACCTACATTCAACTTTTATTTCTCTACTCGCCTTGTTAGTGAACAAAAAATCACAATTGCGATTTTTATTGTGCATGCATGTATTAAAAACTCTGCGATTGCAAAGGTTTTTTCATCATTTTTCGTTGTGTAGTATAAATATTCTCCCTAGAAGTCGTAGGTAGATTGCCTGTATTCACTTGTTAACCTTTTGTTTTGTTCTGTGTCATTTCCAGTTGAGTCCAGGTCTTGAATACGATTCACTTGAATGCAATTTATATCTTTTTACTTCTTATAATATTTTCTAAATGGTTAAGAGTTTTATTCAAACATTTATAATACATGGTAAATACATTTTTTGATACACAAGTTTGGTAAAGGCTTAAAATATCGATGCTTGATTTATTTAATTATATATTTTAGTGTAGAGTGATCCCATTTAAAACAGTGTCTTTGTGAAAAATTATTTAATTGTATGTGACTCCAAATATGTTATCTTTTCAACTAATTTTATGTTATCTACAGTGTAACATTGTATTAAAACTAATTAGCAACTCTTCTTCAACTACATGTCTTAAACATTATTGATTTTGGTTTTTTAACTTCCAATGTAACAACGGGTTAACCGAATAAATTGAATAAAATATATGTTAAACTAAATAGTACTCTATTTTACGTCAACCAGTTATATAATAATTTTAATTTGAAATGAAAAGTCAAACTTTAACTGTATATAGTATATACGTATGAATTATATTAATTTGTAATATATGTATACTTATTGTAATCGATAAAATAGTCCATATGTTTAAAGGAATAATAAACATACAGACATCCATTCACCTTAACATAAGCTTGTACCTATAATATACGAAGATTTTCATCTAAAAAATTATATAGATAAAAATATTTAAAAGCAGTAAAATAGAGGTGTAAATTCTTTAAGTTCAGTGAAACAGAATCAATCGCTTTTTAACTTGGGATGAAAAGAAATAAAAGTTCAAGGATTGGGATTTGAGTTCACATTCAAACACCTTATCCACCAATTTTGATAAAACAGAACTTTTCACTGAAGAATGTCTTTGGCAGTATTTTTTTAAATTTATCTACATATAAAAATGATTATGCTTATGTTCTTTAACTACACTTCTTTCTTATTTATTAAACAGGGGAAATTTTATCAGTCCTTTGTATAACTTAAATCAATCAAGATTTCCTTTTAAAATTATTTATATTTCAATACAATCATTTCGAACTCAATTTCTATTAAGCGTCAAATCGTTTAACGATTCCATCCAACAACTACTTTCATTTGTCAAGAATGAATTCTTGCAGTTTTTTCTCATTTTAATATTTCATAAATATTAGGAAAATTTTAAGAAAATTGTGAAAAATAATACAATAAAAAAATCAATCAGTCTATCATAGATCTGAAAGTATTTTCGTATACTTAATAAAATATTACTCTGTTTTACTAACTAATAAAAGAACATGTTTTATGTTTAAACATTTACAATTCTAACTATAACATTAATTCCGGATAAAAATTGTCGTCATAAAATAATCCCCCCTGAGACTATACTACACGGATTGTTTGAGGAGATCTGGAGCGAGAAAATTGCTTTGAAAGCGATATGGTTAGGTTTCATTTTTAATCCTACGGCTGTGATGTTTGTCGACTCGAATAACGCTTTCCGATATTATTAAGAGTTGATTTACTGTATTAAATGTATTTAACAGTGATTTCTTACAAATTCAAAGACAAACTTTTATTACCAACAACTACAGTATTTATTAAATTGAACTCTTTATACGATTTCTATTTAGGATGAATGTAAAACTATAGATTCATGTTGGCCTAAAAAAATATATTGAATTTGATCATTTTAAATTTCCAGAGAATTTCAGTTCATGTTATGAACGTTGTCCTTTTTTTGCTATGGCTTCATTCGCACTGGATTCTTGGAATCAATTTTTCTCATTCGTGTAAGTTTGATATTACATAGATGTATAGGTAATGTAACAAATATTATACATTATGTTTTTTGAATGTTAAGGCTTTATTCGCACTGGAATTGAAAAATATTTTGAAAATATCAATTTTTTTATTTGTTGGACGAATTATAATCTCGAGTACTGTATGTAGAAAATACAATAGTTTTTCGAAAAGAATAAAAGCGATTGTTGAACAATTATTATTTTTTAAAGAATTTAGTTATGTGTATTTTTTCCAGCTACCAAAATTTATAAATAATGATCCAAACATCTTAGTTTGTATATAATGTACATTTATGTAAATAAATGTTTTAGGTACAAATACGTCATTTAGACATATTTCGTTTGGAATCAATGTTCACATTTACAATAATAATAAATTTATTGCATTATATTATATATTTTTATATAATAAACATGACTATATTAAATATAGTTTTAAACGGATTGATTTGTAGAAAATCCGAATATATTTTTAAAATATGCGATTGAAGTAATGTGTATATTTTAAGAGTAATAAATCAAAATATGAATCACACTGGAGAGAAAATAAAAAAGACTTTCAAGGAATAACTGTCAAAAATTATATTATTATATCACTATGTTAATCAAGTAGGATTAATCTCATTTGTGCGAATTCGTTCGGTCATTTTGAGTGTAACAAAAAGAACGAATGAAACTTTATCCAATCTCTTCCAAATCAAGGAACTAAATGGCTTTTCTCCTGACCTTCGACATTGAATGATTTGAAGTAAGCTGATAGCATTCATTTAACCTGAGTTTCCTCTTCAATATATTTACTTTTTTGCCCTTGAATAAAAACAATGAATTAGATATTTGCAAAGTAATTATTTCTACCAAAAAATATCGTCATATTGTAAGTGTAATAACACTAATACTATATTTTTTATTTTTATTACGAGTATGTCTTAAAAGCTATGACAATAAGCAAGATGTAGTATGAAAACAATAAATTAAAATAATGTAATAGTATTTTTAAATTACTCTACAAAATAGTATGAATTTCATATAAATTTGTATGGTATTCGAATATTATTTAAATAATAATTAATTAACATCCTTATAAGAGTTTTTTTAGAAAACTACATGCTCCCGACGTTTCGGTTACGTTACGTTTTTTTTCCATAATAACTTAAGATATGTATGAAGTTACTATTTCTATTCCGAAGTTTTTGTATGAAAAGACGAGTAGGAAGCATAAATAATGGTTTCCGGAGCGTTGCCACACGCATTCAATAGTCATTGAATTAAATTGTAGTGAGAAATCATATTATGTGTTGGCGTTTGACATTTCATATTAACACATTGTAAGCTTTAATAGTATTTTAATTGAATTATAAAATAAAAGCCAATAAATGAAAATTCAAATACAATTCCTTCAAAGAAGAATGAGTTTGGGCCATATTAAAACATTTACTTTCAATTCATTTGTATGTCTATAGTAAATAGGTATGTTTTGTAATGCGAACGATAAAACTGATGGTATTGAAGTAATAATGAAACTTATATTATGGTTCCTATTTAAATGTTGCTTCTACGTCTCGATAATAAATTTAAGTCGATTTAATTTCCTAAAATCATAGACAATCTTTCGTTCATGTATTTAAAGAAACTGTAAAAGATTTAAGTAAATAAGTTACAATTGTATCTTCAGACATAAAATTATTTAGAGATTTATTGAAATAGGAAATAATAGAAGTTTCTTAATAATGTTTTTCTTAAAGTGTCCCAAATATAAAAGTCAATTGAAGCTCGA